ACCAGGATGTTGCCTGGTATGGAGGGAAGGTCTTATGAGGAAAGGCTGAGGGTCTTGAGGCTGTTTTCGTTAGAGAGAAGAAGGTTAAGAGGTGACTTGATAGAGACATACAAGATGATCAGAGGATTAGATAGGGTGGACAGTGGGAGCCTTTTTCCTCGGATGGTGATGGCTAGCACGAGGGGACATAGCTTTAAATTGAGGGGTGATAGATATAGGACAGATGTCAGAGGTAGGTTCTTTACTCAGAGAGTAGTAAGGGCGTGGAATGCCCTGTCTGCAAAAATAGTAGACTCGCCAACTTTAAGGGCATTTAAATGGTCATTGGATAAACATATGGATGATAATGGAATAGTTTAGGTTAGATGGGCTTCAGATTGGTTTCACAGGTCGGCACAACATCGAGGGCCGAAGGGCCTGTACTGCGCTGTAATGTTCTATGTTCTATGTTCTATGCTCATTCAAGGTTTTCGATATGCCTCCATCGCCCCATTCCCCCGCTGCAAACTTCTCGGTGCCCTTCATGTTTCGATGCTCCATGTACCTTCATTTTGCTTTGCTTTGCTCATCAAGGTATATAATTGAATAATCGAACAAGGACATTTCCACTCCTAGTGAGTTGCAAACCTAGTGTCAATCGATCTCAAGAAGCCTGTAAAAATATTTCCAATTGACTTAAATTGGATAATGTCACCATTCAGACACCTTGTTTTAAGTTTTTTTTTAATATAAAAGTCCCTGATAAAGATTCACTCACATGTAGATCTGACGATCCAAAAGATGAAAATTTTGAAATTAAGATGACAGCGATTTCTCAGAACGTTCTGCCCCCATCAGAGGGCACAAGTTGCCCTAAGGGGACTTTAGATAACAAGGACTGAGGATCGAAGCAGCAAAGCAGAAATTGGATTGTGCACAGCTTAAATATAAGTGGTTTGAGCGTGCTGTACAATGTATGTAATTCAATGATCATTTTAAGGACTACTTGTACACTATTGCATGTGTATGTGTTTTTCTGTGTCTGGAAAAGAAATTCAGCAGAATTTCACATACAGAGAACATTTTAGCAATCAAACTGTCTTATTTTTAAATGTGGCATTTATGTAGATAACTTCCAGCTTAAGTGCAATTAATTGGTTTATTAACCTTGATGACGTTACTTCTAAAGGCGAGATAGTGACGATGAGGAGAGTCAGTTCCAGTCTGGAATGGCAATTGTGGATATTTCACTCCTCAGTGGTTTGGAACCTGAGCTGGTGCAACTTGATAAGGTAGAATGAATTGAATAATAAGAAATTGTAGATATTTTTGAGTGGAGTTTGGGAAGTATTAATCTGGTAAAACAACAACAAAAGAAAATCCCACTTTCACATTAGAAAGAATGATAAAATCACATCAACGATGACTGGTGAATGGGAGGCGGGTTAAACAGAAGAAGCGAACTAGAAATAATAGATGTACCAAAAGAAAGAGCATGGGGAAAATACAGTTAGTGAATGGGAGACGAGGAGTAGAGGAGTCAACTTTATGATATGAAGGGAGAGGAACTGAAGTTAAGAATTGCGGATGGAGACTGGGAACAGGAGACTGAGTTAGTGGTAAGGAAGAAGAAACGGTTATGAAATGGAAGGGAAGGGAAAGGTCATGGGAGGTGTCCAGGAGTGTAGGCTTGTAACTTGAGTGATCAGCGCCCAAAAAGCAAATCTGCTTTAGAATGTGTACCAACCTCTGACCAAAGATGTAGCGAGTGGTCAGGAAAAGCCTTCTCGAAATTCAATTCTGATATTTCACAGTTTAAATATACTTCTTGTCGAGTTGAAACTTGATGTTAATAGATCTGATTTTTATCCCTTCTATGCCTGAACTGTTCTTGCATATCATTGTAACCGCTGTGACATAAATGTAGTTTTGTTGACTATGTAAAGGGAAAGTGCTAAGAAAATGTTCTGATTGTATTTCAGCTGAAAAACGGAGTTGACAAGTACATCGATCACTATGATTTCAAAGATGGAAGGGTCATACTTTATTTGGATACGGTATTTTTTGTTCTTAGCGTTTATGTTGATATTATGCTCAACCATTTATCAACTGAATTAAATTGGAACAAGCAAATATTAATTATATTTAGCTGATTAAACCTGTGAAGTTACGTTTTGTTCAATTCAAATATCAAACTACAGGAATTTTGATTAAAATTGCATCTTTGTTACAATGAGGTATTTGCACATCAACCTCTATCACTTGATATTTCAATGCATTCCACTTGACTGCTCTTTTCCCATCAGGTTGTAAATAATTCCTTCAGCAGAACATATATCATTTTCAAGTTTTTATAATCACTATAGGATTTATGAATTTCAGCAAAACCCATCTGGTAATTTAGCAGGTACATGAATTCATTGTTCTTTGGTTTAACATCCGTCTTGCCAGTGAAAACACCCTTCTCCTATTTCTGGTTCAATTCTTTCATGGGATGTAGGTGTTACTAACAAAGCCAGCATTTTGTCCATTCCTTACTCATCTTCAGCAATGTTGTATTCTGAGGTAATTTCGGAGGGGACTTGAAAGGCATACATATTTCTTTAGGTCTAGATTAACATCTAGATTATGGGCCAGGTTTATTCAGACCAATGGATCACCTCCACGAAAGTACAGTAGTGAAGCCTATGGTTTTGTACAGAGTTCAATTAATAGTCACTATCAATTACATTTTGAATTCCAGATTAATTAATTTTTTTAAATTCCACCAGCTGCTGTGTTTGGATCTGAACCCATGCTCTCTGGATTTCTAGCCCAGGTATATTATCACATCACCAACTGTTTCCCTGGCTGTATCAACTGCGTGGTATGATGGCTCAGTGGTTAGTACTGCTGCCTCACAGCGCCAGGGACCTGGGTTCAATTCCACCCTCATGCGACTGTTTGTGTGGAGTTTGCACATTCTCCCTGTGTCTGTGTGGGTTTCCTCCGGGTGCTCCGGTTTCCTCCCACAGTACAAAGATGTGCAGGGTAGGTGGATTGGCCATGCTAAATTGCCCGTAGTGTTCAGGGGTCTGTAGATTAGGTGAGTTATAGGGGGATGGGTCTGGGTGGGATGCTCCAAGGGTCGGTGTGGACTTGTTGGGCCGAAGGGCCTGTTTCCACACTGTAGGGATTCTATGACAACTGAGGTGGTCAGTTTGCTCAGTTGGTTAGACAGATGGTTTGCATGCAGAATGATGCCAGAGTTGAATTCCTGCTCTGGCTGAGATTACCACGAAGGTCCCTCTGTCTCAATCTTTCCCCTCACCTGAGGAGTGATGACCATCAGGTTAAGCCGCTATAATTTATGACTGGCACAATGGTTCGCATTGCTGCCTCAAGCTCCAGGGACCTGGAATCAATTCCAACCTTGGGCGATTGTGTGGAGTTTGCATGTTCTGCCCGTGTCTGTGTGGCTTTCCTCCCAAAGTCCAAAGATGTTCAGGTTAGGTGGATTGACCATGTTAAATTGTCCTGTGGTGTCCAGGGACGTGCAGGCTAGGTGGATTAGCCATGGTAAATGAGATGGTGTAGGATGCAAAGAAGTTTAGCAGACTCGATGAACCAAATGGCATCTATCTACACTGTAGGGATTGAATGATGATTTGATGTTGATTCGGTTATGTGAAATTGATTGTCTCCATTCAATTTGCCCAAATGACCTTTCTCTAAACAGACCAAAACCACTTCACCGTTTTTGTAACAAGATTTTTTTTTCCCCCAAGTATGCTGTACATTTTCTGCATTCATAGAATCCCTACAGAAATCATAGAATCCCTACAGTGTGGAAACAGGCCCTTCGGCCCAACAAGTCCACACCGAACCTCAAAGCATCCCACCCAGACCAGACCCACCCCACTATAACCCACCTAATCTATACATCCCTGAACACCACGGGCAATTTAGCATGGCCAATCCACCTACTCTACACATCTTTGGACTGTGGGAGGAAACTGGAGCACCCGGAGAAAACTCATGCAGACATGGGGAGAATGTACAAACTCCACACAGACAGTCGCCCGAGGGTGGAATTGAACCTGGGTCCCTGAAGCAGCAGTGCTAACCACTGAGCCACTGAGCTACCGTGCCACCCCAAGACATTCAAAGACATTCTCAGTGAAATAATCTAGTGCTCTATCAGCAGCTTCTAGGCATTATTTTTCATGGTGTATCAAGTCATAATGAAAAGAACAATTTTCAACTTAGTAGTTAGATTTTGTTTGCCAAAGGGGTTGATTATTTCTCACATTAATGCTGAGGTTTTTGTTTGTGCCCACTCATTTTCATCTGGGATAGGATCATTTACAAAAGGATTCCCTTCAGATTATTTCAATTTAATGTATAATTAAATCTAATCAGTCTCTTTGCTGTGACTTTTTCTTTTCTGATCTGCTTCAGGTCCGTGAGGAGAAAGAATGTGTCGTGTTTGCCACCAAACAAGTTGTGCCAATGGGTTTAGTGCAGCCAGCATCAGCCACTCTATATGATTTCTATAATCCAAGTAAGTGACAGCTTTCTTTAGGTTTTGTCACCCCATCCTAAGTGGAAGGAGGAGGAAGTGTCACCACAGCCTTCTGTCTGCTATGTTTTGAAGAAGGCTTCAAGGTATTGCATTCCTGCCTAACAGAAATTTTTTCAAGACTCCTCAGGCAGTGCCTTTCCAATTGGCCCATTGGCAAGAAACAGTGAAAGGGGGTAAAGGGTTATTTTTCAGGTTGGCAACCTGTAACCAGTGGGCTTTCAGAGGGATCAGTGCTAGGATCATGACTGTTACAATAAATGTTATTGACTTGGATGAAAGAAGTGAATGCACTGTAGTCAATCTACAGACAACACAAAAATAGGTGAAAGGCATGTTGTGACAGAGATACAAATAGCTTACAGAGTGATCTTGAGAGGTTAAGTAAGTGGGCAAAAGGTTCGCAAATGGATCATAATGTGGGGAAAACACAAAGTTGTTTATTTTGGAAAGGAGAGCAAAAGAACAGAATATTTACAAATGGAATAACTGCAGTAAAAGTAAGCTGCAACGTAAAGGGACTTAGAGGTACTTGTGCACAAAAAACAAAAGAAAACACACAAGGACAGCAGATAATTAAGAAGGCTAATGGAATGTTGGCCATTATTTCAAGGGCATTGGAGCATAAGAGTACTAAAGTATGACTGCAATTGTACAAGATGTTGGTGAGACCACATCTGGAGTACGTTTACAGTTTTGGTCCCCTTATTTAAGGAAATATATCATTTAATTGGAGGCAGTTCAGAGAAAGTTCACTGGAATGATCCCTAGTATGGAGGGATTGTCTTGTGACCAAAGGCTAAACAGTTTGGGCTTCAACCCCCTGGAGTTTAAAAGAATGAGAGGTGATCACACTGAAACATATAGGATATTTAAGGGTGTTGACAGGGTAAATGCTGAGAGGATGTTTTCCCTCACGGAAGAGTTTAGGATCAGAGGGCATAGACTCAAAATAAAGATGCACCAGTTTACAACTGAGATAAGAAGGAATTTCTTCTTTCAGAGGGTGGAGAGTCTTTGGAACTCCTTGCCAATAGAGATCTATGGTGGCAAAGTCCTAAGGCATACATAAGACTGAGATAGATACATTCTTGGCAAGTTATGGGGGTTCAAGGGTGAAGGTGAAAGGACAGGAAAGTGGGTATAAGGAGTATTACATCAGCCACTATCCTATTGGATGGAGGAGCAGGTCGAGGGACCTATTTCTATTGGTCATGTGGTCTTAAACTATGATATTTGGTAACTAGAAGGGCAAGAACAATAGATAAATGGGGACCCACCAGCAGCAAGTTCCTATCCAAGCTACTCATGATCCTGAAACTAAAATATATCGCAGTTCCTTCATGGTTAAAATCATGAAACCCACTTCCTAACAGGATTGTGGATCTAGTTACACAAAATTGACTGCAGTGTTTCAAGAAGCTAGCTCATCCTGACTTTTTCAAGGGCAACTAGTGCCAGTGACATCAACGTCTCGGAAATGAATTAAAAGATGATGTGTTCCATTTCTAGAACGAGCCAAGGTACATTAACTTGATTTTATAAGCAGTTTTGGTGGTCTCTCAAGACTTGAGACAATCTCTATCCCTAACTATGCCCTTTCAAAAAATTCAAGTATAACCAGTGGGTCATTGGGCTGCGGTATTGAGCTGATTCCAATTGGTTGTGGAGTCTTCTTTTACTCCAGAATTTGAAATATAATGTCCTGGCTGCTGCAGCAATGCATTGTGAGTGTGTGTTGCATTGTCATTTGATTGGAACACTTCTAAAAACAAAAGCCTGCCTTCACAGGCAAATTCAAAGTTCTGAAGCATTTTCAAGAATTTTTGATTTAATAATGATGTGCCAATTAGTATTCCAAAAACAGAGTATTATGATTTAGTTAACAGAATTCAATTATGCGAGTATATAGAAGGTGGTGGGGAGCTGATTTCTTGAACAGCTGTAGTCTATGTGCTGTGGGTACACTCACAATGTCATGACAGAGCGAATTCCAAGGTTGTCACACAGGAATCCTATCTTTCTTTGCCCTTGTCCCTCTAAATGGAAGTGGTTGTGTGTTAGAAAATGCTGTTGATGGATTTTTGGTGAATTCCCTTGCCTTGTATGTCCTGCCCATGTGCACCACCTCGTATGTGTTCAGATTAAATTCCATTTGCCACACGAGTCAATCTGACCTGCCTGTTTACATCACCCTGCAATCTCAGGCTCTCCTCGTCACAAGTTACCATCTCAGCAATGTTCATGTGTTTCACGAACTTACTGATCACCCCTCTTTACATTTAAGTCTAAATCATTCATATATAGCACAGCAGTGAGGGCTCCAACAATGATCCCTGCAGAGCCTCGCTGGACACAGACTTTCAGTCACAAAACATGGATCAACCATTACCTTCTGCTTCCTGCCAACTCAGCCCATTCTGAATCCAACTTGCCAAATAAAGTCATAGAGTCATAGAGCTGTACAGCATGGAAATAGACCCTTTGGTCCAACTTGTCCATGTCAACCAGATATCCTAAATGAATCTAGTCCCATTTGCCAGCATTTGCTACATATCCATCCAAACCTCCCTCATTCATATACCCATCCAGATGCCTTTTAAATGTTGTAATTTTACCAGCTTCCACCACTTCCTCTGACAGCTTGTTCCACACATGCGCCACCCTCTGTGTGAAAATGTTGCCGCTCAGGTCATATATCCCTTCTCACCGTAAACCTATGCCCTCTAGTTTTAGGCTCCCCCACCTTGGCTATTCACCCTATCTATGCCCCTCATGCTTTAGTAAACCTCTGTAAGGTCAGCCCTCAGCCTCTGGTGCTCCAGAGAAAATAGCCCTAGCCTATTCAGCCTCTCCCTATGGCTCAAACCCTCTAACTCTGCCAACATCCTTGTAAATCTTTTCTGAACCCTTTCAAGTTTCACAACATCCTTCCTATAGCAGGGAAATTGTAATTGAGCGCAGTATTCCAAAAGTGGCCTAAGTAATGTCCTGTACAGCTGCAACGTGACCTCACAAATCCTACATTCAATGCACTGACCAATGAAGGCAAGCATACCAAATGCTACATTCACTATCCTGTTTACCTGGGACTCCACTTTCAGGGAACTGTGAACCTACACTCCAAGGTCTCTTTTTGTTCAGCAACACTCCCCAGAGTATACGTCCTGCCCTGATTTGCCTTTTCCAAAATGTAGCACCTCACATTTGTCTAAATCAAGCTCCCTTTGCCATCCCTCGACCCACTGCCCCATCTGATCTAGGTCCCATGCTACTCTGAGGTAACCTTTTTTGCTGTCCATTACACCTCCAATTTTGGTGTCATCTGCATATTTACTAACCATACCTCCTATGTTCATATCCAAATCATTTATATAAATGACGAAAAGCAGTGAACACAGCACCTATCCTTGAGGCACAACTGCTAGGCACAAGCCTCCAGTCTGAAAAGCAAACCTCCACCACCACCCTCTGTCTTCTACCTTCGAGCCAGTTCTGTATCCAAATGGCTAGTTCTCCCTGTACTCCATGTGATTTAACCTTCCTACCAGTCTACCTTGAGGAACCTGCTCGAACGCCTTACTGAAGCCCATATATGTCCATCACTCTGCCTTCATCAATCCTCTTTATTACTACTTCAAAAAACTCAATCAAGTTAGTGAGACATGATTTCCTGTGCGCACGTGTCCTCGGATCCCATAGACTCTTTCCTGTTCTAACAGTCTTCAAATGCGGGACCTTGTCAAAAGCTTTGCTGAAGTCCAAGTAGGCTATATCAAATGCATTGCCCTCATCCACACACCTAGTTACCTCTTCAATCATAGATTCATAGAGTCATACAGCACAGAATCAGGCCCTTCGGTCCTACTCATCTGTGCTGACCAGGTATCCCAAACTTAACCGGTCCCATTTGCCTGCGTTTGATATCCCTTTAAACCTTTCCTATTTGTGTACCTGGCCAAATGTCTTTTAAATATAGAAATTGTACCTGCCTCTACCACATCTGCTGGCAGCTCATTCCATTCATGCACCACGCTCTGTGTGGAAAAGTTGCCTCTTGGGTCCCTTTTAAATCTTTCCCCTTTCACATTTGAACCTATTCCCTTCTAGTTTTGGACTCCCCAGCCTTGGTTATTCACCTTATCAATGCCCCTCATGATTTTATAAATCTATGTAAGGTCACCCCTTAGTCTCTGATACTCCAGGGAAAAAGTCCCAGCCTATCCAGCCACTCCTCGTAAACCCTCCAGTCCCAGCAATGTCCTTTTGTAATTACTTTTGCACTCTTTCTAGTTTAACAGCATTCTTCCTATAGCAGGGTAAGCAGAATTGTATGCAGTATTCTGAACAAATTGGTCAGAAGTGGACTTACCCTGACCTAATGATGTCTTTGATTAATCCCTGCCTCTCCGTGTGGAGACAGTTTTCCCACGACTGAATGTCATATAGTTTCTTGGTTTGTCTCTTGCTCCCTTCTTGAATAATGGCACCACATTGTCTGTCCTCTAGTCCTCTGACATATTTCCTGTGTCACGGAGGAATTTAAAATATTGCCAATAGCCCTGCTATTTCGTCCATTGCCTCACTGAACGATCTGGGATATATTTCAGTTGGTCCTAGAGATTTAGCTACGTTTAAGCCTGTCAGACCACTCAGTTATTCCTCTCCGGCGATGCTACTTTCTTTAAGTATATCATAGTCCTTCTACCTGATTTCCATAACCACATCTCTCTCACTACTGAATGACTACACAATGTGTTCGTTTAGAATAACTACATATTCTGGCTTCTCGCACAAATTACAATTGTGCTCTCTAAATAGGGCCTATCCTTTCCTTAGCTATCCTGTTATACTTAACATTTAATTGCAAAATAAGTTAGGATTTCCCTTTATTTACCTGCCTTGCTTCCTGCATGTCCCTCTTTTGCTCTCCTGATTTCCTTTCAAAGTTTCCCCATTCTGTATTTGTCTCGTGCTTCTGCTGTTTGGAGTACTTGGTAAATGCTATAAGCCTCCCTTTCTAGTTATCTAATTCTGTATATCCTTTAATATCAACAGTTCACACAACTTGTTATTACATTATTGGAACATGTTGACCCTGTAGTGTCCCTGTTTACTCCTTGAATGCCTCCCACTGCTCTGACAGTCTTTTACTTGAAATTATAGGCTCTCGGCCTACTCTGAATAAATCGCACTTGGTCTTTATTAAATTGAGCCTTCCCTTAGATTAGAACATTGATTTAAGACCCATCCCTACCCTTTTTCTATAGCTACCTTGAATCTGAGTTAAGATTTCTGGAAAATGCTCGCCACACCTCCCCCCCACTGTTACTTTAAATACTTGCGTGGCTTCATTAACCAAAGTTAAGACCAGGACTGTCTGTGCACTTTCAGGGCCTACTACATTCTTACATTAAAAACTCTCCTGGATGCAGTTTAAGCATTCTGCTTTGTCTAAACTTTTCAAATTTGACTACCTCAGTTAGTGTTGGAAAAGTTGAAGACCCCTACAATTGCTACTGAATTACTTTTGCACTTCTCTGTAATGTTCCTACATATTTGCCTTACTATTTCACTCAGACCGTTTGGAGTACTACAGCCCGGTCCTACCAATTTGATTGTTCCTTTTGATCTTTCAGTTCTACCCATGTGGCTTCATTTGAGGAGACTCCTCAGATGTCATCCCTCCTTACTGCTGTAATAGATTCCCTGATCAATACTGCAAAACTCTGATTTTACGCTTTTCTCTGTCTCACCTGAAGATCCTATATCTTGGAATATTGAGTAACCAACCCAGCCTCTGTTTTTGGTTCAATTGAATTTCTTAATATAAAGAGTGTAGGGGCATTTTTAAGAAAGAAATCAGGAAAGCAAAGAGGAGATATAAGACAGTATTGGCAGATAATCTAAAGAGATTCTACAAGTGCATGAGTAAGGGGGTAACCAGAGAGAGGGTAGGGTCCCTTAAAGATCAAGGAGGTTGTCTTTGTGTTGAACCCTAGGATATAGGAGAGATACTAAATGAATATTTCATGTCAGATTTATTGTGGAGAAAAAAATGGAGCCTCGAGAAAGTATGGAAATAAATTTTGATATTTTGAAAACAGTTCACATTGTGGAAGAGGAAGTTCTGGAGGTCTTGGAGAACATAAAGTTGGATAAATCTCTGGGACCTGATCTAATGTAACCTGGAATGTTGTGGGAAGTAAGGAAGGAAATTATGAGACCTCTTACAGAAATATTTGCATTGTCTATAAATATGGGTGAGGGGCCTGATGACTGGAGGGTGGCTAATGTTGTACCTTTGTTTAAGAAAGGTTGTAAGGAGAACCAAGGAGCTAGAGACCTGGGAGTCTGACTTTAGTTGTGGGTAAATTTTTGGAGGTGATTTTGAAAGATCGGATTTATGGACATACAGAAAGGTAAAAATTGATTAGGGGTAATCAAAAATTGATTGAGTTTTTTGAGGAAGTTACCATAAAGATTGAGGGCAGAGCAGTAGACGTTGTTTATTTGGATTTTAGTAAAACCTTTGACAAAGTTCCGTATGGTAGACTAACAAAATTAGGTCACATGGGATTAAGGGTGAGCTTGCCAATTGGACATATAATTGGCCTAACGGCAGGAGACAGACGGTAATGGTAGAGGGTTGTTTTTTCGGACTGGAGGCCTGTCACCAGCTGTGTTCCACAGGGGTCAGTTCTGGGTCATCTTATGTTTGTCATTTATATTAATGATTTGGATAAGAGCGTAGAAGGCATGGTTAATAAGTTTGCAGACGACACCAAAATTGGTGGCATAGTAGACAGTGAAGAAGGTTTTCTAAGATTGCAGAGGGATCTAGATCAAATGGGTCAATGGCCTGAAAATGGCAGATGGAGTTCAATCAATTAATAGTAGGGCCTTGAGTAGTGTTGAAGAGCAAAGGAACCTAGGGATTCAGGTACATAATACTTTGAAGTTTGCATCACATATAGACAGGGTAGTTAAAAAGGCGTTTAACACTCTTGCCTTTATTGCCTGGTCCTTTGAGTATGGGAGTTGTGAAATCATGTTGAGGTTGTACAAGACATTGGTGAGGCCTCTTCTGGAGTATTGTGACAAGTTCTGGTTGCCCAGTTAGACGAAGGATATTATTAATCTGGAGAGGGTTCAGAAGGGATTTAGCAGGATGTTGCTGGGTATAGAAGGTTTGAGTTATGAAGAGAGGCTGAACAGGCTGGGACTTTTTTCACTGGAGCATCAAAGGTTGAGAGGTGACCTTTATAGAAGTTTATAAAACATTGAGAGGTATAAAACATTGATGGTAGTTGTCTTTTCCCTAGGGTGGGGGATTTCAAGACCAGGGATGTATTTTTAAGGTGAGAGGAGAGAAATTTAAAAAAGACTTGAGGGGCAAAATGTTTACACAGATGGTTATTTGCGTGTAGAATGAACTTCCTGAGGAAGTGGTGGATGTGAACACAATTACAACAGTTAAAAGACATTTGGATAAGCACAGAAATAGGAAAGGTTTGGAGAGATGTGGGCCAGGAGCGGGCAGATGTGATTAGTTTAGTTTGGGATAGTGATAGCAATGACACCATATCCCCATGTGTTAATTTGTGCCTTCACCTCATCTGCCTTGTTCATCAGACTCCTTGCATTATAATAAATATTATCCAACAATGACAAATAGCCTTGCACCTTATCTGGCCTATAATTTTGATGCCTTCTTGACTCCTTTGCTGATGAATTTTGGCAGTTCATTTCTCCTTGACGAACCTTCTGTCTGGATTCCACCCCCTACCAAGTTAGTTTAAACTCTGTCAGAACTTGCAAACCTCCCCACAAGAAATTGGCCCCATTCCAGTTCAGGTGCACCTCATCCATGTTGTACATGTTCCACTGCAACCCAGAATCATCCTAATATCCCAGAAATCTAAAGCCCTCCCTCCTACACCATCTCTCCGGTCATGCATTCACCTGGGCTAATCTATTGCGATGAGATTTCTGAAGAAAGGGTCCCGACCCGAAACGTCAACTTCCCTGCTCATCTGATGCTGCCTGGCCTGCTATGTTCCACCAGTTCCATGCTGTGTTGTCTCTAACCTATTTCTCTCCTCACTCACACCTGACATAATCCAGAGATTACTACCTTTTGGGTTCTGTTCTTTAATCTACTTCCTAGCTCCATAAATTGTCCTTACAGGATTTCTTCCTTTTTTTTCTACCTCAATTGTTGGTACCAATATATACCATGATCTCTCGCCATCTGCACTCCCCCCTCCCCCCGAATAACCTTCAAGTATTGAGTGACATCCTTGACTCTGACACATATATCATCCAAGAGATTCTTTATCGGCTTCAAACACCTGTCTGTTCCATTCACAGTGGAAACCCCTACCACTGCATCTTGCTGCTCCTCTTATTCCCTCTTGTGCAAGAGGCCCACCCATTGTACCACGAGATAGGCTGCTGCTGATTTCTTCTGTAAAGTCATATTCATCAACAATACATAAAACATATATCTGCTGGAAAGGGGATGGCCACAGGGACCTCCTGCATAACCTGCTTTCCTCTACTGTGTCTAATGCTTGCCCATGTCCTTTCAGCTTTTTTAGTCTTCACCTGCAGTGTGATTGCCTCACTGAATGTGCTATCTTATTTGTGTCTTAAGTTTTTAACTTACTTTCTGATTCGAGCATCTTTTGTTGGTGTTATGCCTGATCTAGGTTGTTTACATTGAAAAATGAAAGAAATGCATGACTCTCCATCAATATTGTTTTTTTTTTGGTCTTTAGGTATAAGATGCACTGTGGCGTACAATGCTCCTGAAATGAATCCTATGATTTCCAAGATCTGCAACAGTGAAGTTTGCGTTTGTGCTGAAGGTATGATCTATGCATAATACAATAAGTTGTTCATTAGATTGAATTATCCTTTCCTTTCCTCTGACAGTGTTTTATCTGAGAATGCTCATTAAGATTATGTAGCTGATAATTGCTTCTAAGGCATTCATGCAGTGATCCTGCAATGCAGGCAAGTGTGTTTAAAGGACCAGGAACTTCAGTCCACCAAAGATTCATTGATGAGTTTGATTCAGAAAGTTAGTTCAGATGATATAACTAACAATATAGTGTTCTGCATTCTAGAGGGGTGAGGTGTGCAATGTTTGTGGGAGACATTGTAAGATCGCTTTGATAGATTGATAAGGAAGAAACATGCATGTGTTCTATCTGTGTGCCTATAAAAATTATTGCATGCACTAAGGGTTTTGTAGATCATATGTAAGGTAGTAGTATGCAGGGGAGAAAATCTTAATAAAAGAACATTGTCACCTACATTACAATTCATTACATATACACAATAAAGTGAACCAATCTGAAAAAAAGTATAAACTCAGTTAATCTGAGCAGCTCACATTTTTTTTTTCTTTTAATGCAGGTGAGAATAATGCAATATCAGTAATTTATCAATACTTGCGCCCATCTCCCATATTTCCAAATGTGTAGAAATGGCACAAGATTATTTGTAAATAGTCTACATATTTATCCAATTCATCCAATTATCAAGAGCATATTCTGTCTGTCTCTCTCTCTCTCTGTGTCTCTCTCTCTCTCTCTGTCTCTGTCTGTGTGTCTCTCTCTCTCTGTATCTGTCTGTGTGTGTCTCTCTCTCTCTCTCTCTGTCTGTGTGTGTCTCTCTCTCTCTGTGTGTGTCTCTCTCTCTCTGTCTGTCTGTCTGGGTGTGTGTCTCTCTCTGTCTGTGTGTGTGTGTGTGTGTGTGTCTCTCTCTCTCTCTCTCCTTCTCTCTCTCTCCTATCCCTCAGTATCCTCTCCAGCAGCTTCCCCGCCACTGACATCAGGCTCGCCGGTCTACCCTTCTTAAACAAGGGGACAACATAGCAATTCTCCAGTCCTCCGGGACCTCACCTGTCCTCAAGGATGCTGCAAAGATGTCTGTTAAGGCCCCAGCTATTTCTTCTATCGCTTCCCTCAGTAACCTGGGATAGACCCCATCCGGACCTGGGGACTTGTCCACCCTAATGCCTTTTAGAATACCCAACACGTCCTCCCCTCCTTATGCTGACTTGACCTAGAGTAATCAAACATCTATCCCTAGCCTCAACATCCATCATGTCCCCCTCCTCAGTGAATACCGACGCAAAGTACTCATGAAGAATCTCACTCGTTTTCTCTGACTTCTCGCATAACTTCCCTCCTTTGTCCTTGAGTGGGCCAACCCTTTCTCTAGTTACCCTCTTGCTCCTTATGTATGAATAAAAGGCTTTCAGATTTTCCTTAACCCTGTTTGCTAAAGGTATTTCATGACCCCTTTTAGCCTTCTTAATTCCTCGTTTCAGATTGGTCCTACTTCCCCGATATTCTTCCAAAGCTTCGTCTGTTTTCAGTCGCCTAGACCTTATGTATGCTTCCTTTTTCCTCTTTGCTAGTCTCACAATTTCACCTGTCATCCATCGTTCCCTAATCTTGCCCTTTCTATCCCTCATTTTCACAGGGACATGTCTGTCCTGCACTCTAATCAACCTCTCTTTAAAAGCCTCCCACATATCAAATGTGGATTTACCCTCAAACAGCTGTTCCCAATCCATATTCCCCAGCTCCTGTCGAATTTTGCTATAGTTGGCCTTCCCCCAATTCAGCACTCTTCCTTTAGGACCACTCTTGTCTTTGTCCATCAGTATTCTAAAACTTACGGAATTGTGATCACTATTCCCAAAGTAATCCCCCACTGAAACTTCAACCACCTGGCGGGGCTCATTTCCCAACACCAGGTCCAGTATGGCCCATTCCCGAGTTGGACTATTTACATAATGCTCTAGAAAACCCTCCTGGATGCTCCTTACAACTTCTGCTCCATCTAAACCCCTAACACGAAATGAATCCCAGTCAATATTGGGAAAATTAAAATCTCCCATCACCACCAGCCTGTTGCTCCTACATCTTTCCATAATCTGTCTACATATTTGTTCCTCTATCTCACACTCGCTGCTGGGAGGCCTGTAGTACAGCCCCAACATTGTTACCGCACCGTTCCTATTTCTGAGCTCTGTCCATATTGCCTCACTGCTCGAGTCCCCCATAGTCCCCTCCTTCAGCACAGCTGTGATATCCTCTTTGACCAGTAATGCAACTCCTCCACCCCTTTTACCTCCCTCTCTATCCCACCTGAAGCATTTATATCCTGGGATATTTAGTTGCCAATCTTGCCCTTCCCTCAACCAAGTCTCAGTAGTAGCAATAACATCATACTCCCAAGTACTAATCCAAGCCCTAAATTCATCTGCCTTACCTACTACACTTCTCACATTAAAACTAATGCACCTCAGACCACCTGTCCCTTTGTGTTCATCTGTCCCTCTCGCTCTCGATCTCTCCCTGTCTGTGTGTGTCTCTCTCTCGCTATCTCGCTCTGTGTGTGTGTGTGTGTGTCTCTCTGTGTGTCTGTTTCTACATATTAATACCTTCTAATCTACCACACTATCAATCAATTGACTGACCTGTCGATACCTATCTGTAAACACTGAAACCTTATTCAATTTTTCAACCATTATCATCATTATTTCACATTTTCGGTAACTGTAGCATTACGTTCATACGTTACATCCATGAAACATACAACATTCCACCCGTCTGTCTATCTGGATTATTAGAAATGTTCATGCATCTGTTTGCAATCATTGTCACATTATTCACTGTGAGTTTAAGCATTTGTCTTTAACATACTGCATAACAGGTTCTTGTCCTCAACTTAAGGACATCTTGTCCACTGAGGTGAGTGGATCAGCTCGGATAGACTTTGCCTGCTACAGTCCAATTGTGGATTACGGTATGTAATGCTTATCACCAGGATCTCTCTCTCTCTCTCTCTCCCTCTCTCTCTCGTTAATAAATGAACAAAGATAAGCTCAACTGTCTGACAATGAATCAGCAACACCTTTAATATTCCTCCCATTCGTTGATATACATTTAGTTCAATGTCAAAGATGCATTCAAGGGAAGTGCATGGGAGCAAATGACAAAGAAGTCGCATGATGATATTCTCGTGCATTGGTCACAGTGATAGTTGAAATTTCTAAAATCCTACAGCTGCAGTGTTTTAACACCTGTAAAATTGACATGGAAAGGAAATATTACATTGGTTGACTTGTGGCGTGGTTAAATGATGTGACAGAGCTCAGATCAATGTTTTCATTTTCTGTAACAAGTGGTCAAATAACACTCCTATGAATCCCAAACAAGTAAAATCTGGAACTCCAGATAGAGCCAGTTGGAATGCATGACACACTGCCCCCATCCCCAAAGTGATGCAAATAACCATCAAGCATTCCAGAAAGTTTCTGAAGAAGGGTCCAGGCCCTAAATGTCAGCTTTCCTGCTCCTCTAATGCTGCTGGGCCTGCTGTGTTCATCCAGCTCTACACCTTGTTATCTCAAGCATTCCAGAAAATCCACTTCTATAGCTACTTTAAAATGGCAATGTCGTTGACAATTTTTTTTTTATTGGAACTCAATCAATCTGAGAACCGATTTGGTGGCGGGGGGGTGGTGGCAGATGGCACAACATGAAAATACAGGAAATTCATAAGGTTATTTTCAGCTGAATATATTTACTTTTCTCCAAAAGTTGATACTTATTCTAAATAACAGGCAGATTCAAGCCATTCTTCATTTAAACGCCACTAAGTTAGGTTTGCTTACTGTATTTTTGATACCACAAGGGAGGAAAGAATGTGTACATTTCATTTTTAAGTAAGGTTTACTAGTGTTGGTGTATTTAATAAATACATTCAGTTTTAATTAATGCAATTTACTAGCAATAGAAAGTTTCATTACCTAACAGATAGAAGAACTGAAGAGCTACTTTAATCTCTAGAGAGCTCTTTCTGTGCACTGTGGGAAGTCCAGTGAGCTTACTGTGTCTTGGATAACTACAGGTGAGGAAGGGTTCTCAATAATGGCACCTTAAGATCCATGTTTAGTATATTGAGCAGCAGCTTGTACTATTAGGTACACTTGAGAGTTTCACAGTTTCATGGATGGAAGTTTCATAAATGTGGTCAGCCCCAGCTTACTATTATGCAAGGAGTAAGAATACCACACTATCTCAATGAAACAAAGAGGTACACTGGAATAGCCACAGTGTGTTTTAATCTTCAACTAGTATTAATCCTGAAATTGATTAGAGTAATTGCTCATCTGTTGAGTGGAGCCAAATCTCAGTGAATGCCAGCATTTACAACTCATCTCTGTAGGGAAGTGCAATGATGTCTTTAAGAAGAAAATTACTTAAATCAAAAGTTATCCAGATACAGTTGAGAATTCTAGAGAGTATTTTGCCTCCCTTGTGCCAGGCTCAAGTATTACGGCGCAGCAGACAGGCAGCCAAATCAAATGAGCCATCCTCTCCTGTGTTCGTTTTCATATGAAAATTAAAATGCTCAATGACGCTCAAAATTCACCCTGGCAGTTCGTAACCAGATGTTTTGAATAACCAGCACCAAATTTTACAAATGATCAATACTAGACACTGGGTTTATAGTCCAAACAAAGTGATTAACAATTTATTAATAATAGAATACCTTTAGCAGAGAAAGTTTAAACCACAGGGCAATCTAATTAATGACTAAGATTTAAATATAATCTCATTAATTCTAATCCCTACTCTGACAGGCAGACACAGCTAAGGGACAAGTCAAAAGGGAAAAATAAAAGGTATGTGAACTGGCCTGTTAGCTTAAGCAGATTCCACAGTGTATAACATCATTGGCAAGTGGCATTGCATTTGCTTGGTTTCTGATGACACTGGTATTTTTGATAGCTTACATAGATTAAGATAATTTTGAGTAGGCTCAAAGGAATTCTTATAACAGAGCCTCTGTGCTCTGAACTTTCAATAATTCATGATGAGAGGACAACCAGAGAGCAATCAAACCTCCATCCAGTGGTTTTCAGAGGTATGATCTTTCTGACTTAAACACAGTTCAAAAATCAGTTAAAACTCTGACCTCTCTCTGCCCAACTGACCATTTTCCAAACGAGGTCCCAGATAACATTTTGACATCTGCCATCTGTTTGAACATAGGGCCTCTCTGGCGTCAACATCTCTGCAGAGGTCTTTGATCAAGAACCAATTTGCAAGTAACTTTCAGGTCTGACCTCATGAACAAGTAACAACTTGTTTGTTCTCTTTTTTTTTCTATAACCCAAGCTGCCGCTCACAGCCCACATGTCACCTATTAGCTCTCAGCTTAAGTTCAAAGCTCTAGGCCAAAAAATCATGTTTGAATAAACACAAGAAAATATTGATAAATCAGTGAGTGTTGTAACACAAGAATATCACTGAACTACTGCAGGGCATCCATAAGAGGAACGGCATAAGTACAGCAGTCATGATCCACAATGTGACCCTATGATTGGGAGGAAAGAAGGTTTTGTTGCAAAATGTTTGGGAGATTTATTGAACATGAATCAGCACAACCCCAAATGCAGTGACTTCTGAATAATATAGTAGTGGAGAGATTCATAGCACAGAGAAAGGCACTTCTGCCCAACACATTCTTGCAGCTCAGAAACAACCACCCAATTATTCAAATTCCATTTTCCAGTACTTGGCCCATTGCCTTGTATGCTTTGGCATTTGAAGTGCAAACCTAAATACTATTTAAGTGTTAGGAAGGTTTCTGCCTCTAACACCGTGCAGTGAATTCCAAATTGCCAATACCTTTGGGTGAAAAGGTTTCTCCTCATATCTGCTTTAAACCGTCTGCTCCTTATCTTAAATCTATGCAATTTGATCATTGATTCCTCCAACCAAGGGAAATGTCTCTTCCTGTCCAGTCAACACCTCCCCTCACAAACATCTCAACATGATCTATTTCAATCTCCTCTGCTCTAAAGAAAACAATCTCAATTTGTCCAATTATTCTTCATAACTGAGACCCTCCAGCCTCAGCAACGTCCTGGTAAATCTCCTCTGCAGTGTAATCGCATCCCTCCTCTTATGGGATAGGCCAGGGGCACAGTAAAGGGAGGGAAGGACTTCTGGTTTAAAGTGCATTTAATTCAACGCATGGGACCTGACTAGTAAGGAAGATGAGCTCAGAGCATGGATTGGCTTTGGGAACTGGGGTATTATAGCCATGAAAGAAACAGGGCTGAGAGAGGGACAGGATTGGTAGCTCAATGTTCCAGGATACAGATGCTACAGGTGTGACAGAAATACAAGTAAGCGAGGCGGGGGAGTAGCCCTTTTGAAAGGGAGGACATAACAAGTGTGCTTAGAGAGGACATTCAAATAAGGCCATATGGTTAGAACATAGAACAGTACAGCACAGTACAGGCTTTTCGGCCCACGATGTTATGCCGACCTATTACCCTACTAAGATCAATCTACCCTGCATACTCTACATTTTACTATCCTCCATGTGCCTATCCAAGAGTCGCTTAAAAGTCACTAAAGTATCTGACTCCACTACCACTGCCGGCAGTGCATTCCACACACCCACCACTCTCTGTGTTAAGAACCTACCTCTGACATCTTCCCTACACTTTCCTCCAATCACCTCAAAATTATGCCCCCTCGTAATAGTCATTTCTGCCCTGGGAAAAAGTCTCTGACTAGCCAGTCTATCTCTGCCTCTTATCATCTTGTACACCCCTATCAAGTCATCTCTCCTCCTTCTTTGCTCCAATGAAAAAAGCCCTAGCTCCCTCAACCTTTCCTCATAAGACCTGCCCTCCAGTCCAGGCAGCATCCTGGTAAAACTCCTCTGCACCCTCTCTAAAGTTTCCACATCTTTCCTACAATGAGGTGACCAGAACTGAACACAATATTCCAAGTGTGGTCTAACCAGGGTTTTATAGAGTTGCAGCATAACCTCGCAGCTCTTAAACTCAATTCCCCTGCCAATGAAAGCCAACACACCATACGCCTTCTTTACAACCCTATCAACCCTAGCAACTTTGAGGGATCTATGGACGTTGACCCCAAGATCCCTCTGTTCCTCCACGCTGCCGAGAATCAGTGTTTACTGAGGAGAGAATCATGGATGCTAGAGAAATAAGGGAAACAAGTGGGGATGTTTTGGACAGCAGACACATTACCAGAAAGGAGGTGTTTGCAGCTTTAAAGCATGTTACAGTGGATAAATCCCTTGGGCCTGATCAAGTCCATCCTCTGACATTGTTGGAGACTAGGGAAGAAATTGCAGAAGCCATTGCAGAAATTTTTGCTTCATCTTTAGCCACTGGTGAAGTTCCAGAAGACTGGAAGTTGGCTAATGTTGTTCCATTGCTTAAGGTATTAAAGACAAGCCAGGGAACTATAGGCCAGTGAGCCTGACATCAGTGGTAGGCGAGCTATTGGAGAGGATACTGATGGACAGGATCAACCAACACTTGGATAGTCAAGCTCTGATTAGGGATAGTCAGCATGGATTTGTGCGCGGGAAGTCATGTCTGACAAATCTTTTCGAATCTTTCAAAGAAGTAACCAAGAGGATGGATGAGGGTAGGACAGTGGATGTTGTTTATATGGACTTCAGTAAGGCCTTTGACAAGGCCCCACATGGTAGGCTAGTCATGAATGTTAGGATCCTGGGAGATCTAGCTAACTGGATTCCAGATTGGCTCAATGGTAGGAAGCAGAGGGTGATGGTTGAAGGTTGTTTCTCAGACTGGAGGCCTGTGATTAGTGGTGTGCCACAGGGGTTGGTGCTGGGACCTATGTTATTTGTTACTTATACAAATGATCTGGATGTGAATGTACAAGGCATGATTTAGTAAGTTTACGGATTATATAAAAATGATATAAAATTAGGAGGTATTGTTGATAACAAAGAAGGTTATCAAAAATTACAGAGGGATCTTGATCAGATGGGGAAGTGGGCTGAGGATTGGAAAATGTAATTCAATACAGATAAGTGTGAGGTGTTGCACTTTTTGGAAAGTCAAACCAAGGTAGCACTTATACAGTAAATGGTAAGGTCCAGAGGAGTGTTGTCGAACACAGAGACAGCAATGTCCTGCCTGTTCTTGAACTCTTAAGTTGGCTAATAAAGGCAAGTGTACAAAATGCATTCTGAACTAATTTACCCACCTGTCCTGATACCCTGAGGGACTCTTGTATATTAATACCAAGATCGCCTGATTCATTACCCTTCCTAGCATTTGACTGTTTATCGCGTATTCCATTGTCCAGCTATATCCTTCTCCTATATTCCAAGTCTTTCGTCCTCACTGATTACCACCTCACCAATATTTGTATCCTCTGAGAATTTATTAATCAAACCTCTTGTGTTCAAGTCCAAATCTTTTGTATTATTCACAAACCGCAAAGGCCCCAACACTAACACCTGTGAGACCCAAGCTGACAGAGTTCCAATCAGAAAAAGCGCCTCTCAACCATTGCCCTTGACTTCCTACCGTTCAGCCATTTGTTGGTCCAATTTGCCTTGGATCTGTTGTGCTCTTGCCTTTGCTATCAGATTGGCATTCAGGACCCTTATTTAGAGAAAATTATACTATAGATATAGGGCAGTGGACTAGCACGTGACTGTAAATATCGTGCAGAGGGAAGATTTTTGTTCCCCTGGAAATGCTTTGGGTTAAAATTGATCTCTACAAGCTGCAATGTTTTGATAAAAGTAAGAGTGGAACTGAATTCTTTGCTGCGCAATTCACTGGGACTATTGGGGAAGTGTTAAATCTAACTTAGTTAAAGCCTGAGAACAGCAATTAATGACACAAGGGTGTTACAACAGGCACAAAATATTGATAGAGGTAAATAGCACAATAAATTATTAAATGGTTTATCAGTAAAGGAAGAAGTAAGAGCATCCAATGTATTACGAATCAATACTCATTTTTTAAAATTTATTAGTAAGACTGGTACCACATTGCCATGGCAAATATGATGTGTTTTGTCTAAACAAGATCTGTCCCATAGAAGGCAGGACTGCTAATTAATCATCCATAGATATAAAATCATAGGATCCCTGCCATGTGGAAACAGGCAATTTGGCCCATCGAGAGGCCCACACTGACCCTCCAAAGAGCATTTCACCAAGACTCAAACCCCTACCCTATATCTGTAACCCTGAATTTCCCATAGCTAATCCTCCTAGCCTACACATTCCTGAACACTATAGGCAATTTAGCATGGCCAATCAACCTCACTTGCACATCTTTGCACTGTAGGAGGAAACTGGAGCTCCAGGAGGAAACCCATCCACATACAGGGTGAACGTGCAAACTCTAGACAGACGACTGCCTGATGCTCAAATCAAACCTGGGTCCCCTGGCAGTGTGAGGCAGTAGTGCTAACCACTGGGCAACCGTGCTACCCCAATGTTCATAAGTAATTGGAAAGCCAGCTCAATAGCAAGAGCAGCAGTGTTGATATTAGCAGCCAAACACCACTGGAGTGTTTTGAAGATAAAGAACACCACAGCATGATCGGGGCAAAATCAATGTTGAAAGAAGTATGAAAAAGAAGCGGAAGCAAATGCATGCTTTACTTGTCTATCGTCCACCATTAATAGGCAGAAGGACAAACTTGTATTTAAATAAGAGACTCAATAACCTTTGAGTATTAATAATAGGTGAATTTAATTTAGAATATATCCTGGGATGGCTATAGCACGTATGGCAGAGACGGACAAGCCTCCTTAGTATATGCTTGGGATTGTTTCTGCACCAGTATGTTTCCATCGCAACGAGAATGGAGCTACTTGGTTCTTAGAAATGGATCCTTGAAATGTTAATTAAATGCTGCTTGTACGAGAAATTACAGTAATGCAATGATCATTACATGGATTAAATTGGCTTGACAAAGGACAATGAACAAACAATACTGAAAAGAATAAGCTGGGGGAAATACAGTTTTAATTGGATTAGATTGTGACTGTTCCAATAACTTGGACTCAAATATTGAGAGCAAATATCTGAAAAATGATATAACTTTATACAAGTGATAGCGCATTAAATTTATTTTGTAATTGAGTGGAAATTTAGGTAAAAAAGCAGATCTTCCTGGAACATAAAACATGTAGAGATTATTATGAATCAAAAAATGCTTAAGTGTGACACCATGAGAATAATCAAACTGAGAGCAAGACAAGATAAAACGCTTGTGGCAAAAATGAAGAATAAGATAATAGAAAATGTCATTGGAAAGGATGTAGCAGCTGAAATGGAACGCTAAAGTCATCTTTTGGCGTATAAATATCAAAAGAACTGCAAAAGTAGCAGAATAGTGACTACAATGCAGACAAAAAAGTTTGAGTGAAATGAAATTGTTGAGATATGAAATGAACAGCTTATGTCAATCCTTATCAATAAAGAAAATCATGCCAGCTCATAGTGAAAAGAAAATGAATTCGGACACTCAAAGGTTATAAATTTTAACGAGATGATATTCAAAAGATTGTCTGGACTTAAAGTTGAGAAGACACCAGAAACACATGAATGGAACGAATGTACTGAGGGAAGTGAGAGTTGAAAGTATAGACTCATTGATCATAATTTTTCAAGACTTCTTAGATCGGTGGTGAAACTCGGAAAAACGCAGGGTAATTTCAGAACCGCTAACTTTAGTAGTGGGTGAACCTCTAGAAATAGCGATTTGGGAAAACATTACTAGTCAATGGGGAAAATGCTTATTAATTAAATTAATTCAACAGAGAGCTGTCAATGGTAAATCATGTATAAATAGTTGCTGGAGGTTTAGAAGTGATCACAAAGTAGATTAATGGCGCTAATGCTGTACATGTGGACTTTCTAATGGATATAATACATCAGAACTGTAGAGCTTGTGGAACAAAGGGAACAGGCATGCAGAAAAATATCTGAAATCAAAGAAAAACAACAATTGTTATTTGGACTGTTTGGGACTAGATAAATGTTTGTAGTAGATTTTTTCAGGAGGAAGGCAGCAGCTCCCTTGTTCTATCTGATATGTATGTTGAGGACTTAGTCATTTTATGGCACATGACTTGATGTCATTAATTTAGATGATAGCAAGCTTGGAAACATTGTGAAAACAGTGTGGAGCTGGAGGAGCACAGCAGGTCAGGCAGCATCAGAGGAGCAGGAATGTTGATGTTTCAGGTCGGGAACACTGTGTTATCTCTGACTCAAGCATCTGCAGTTCTTACTATCTGAGTGAGTTGGAACTTGAAAAGGACACACACAGGTTGAATCAATTGGCAGGCAAGTCGCAGATGAAACTTAATGCAGTGATGTGTGAGATGTTTCATTTTTGAAAAAATAATGGAGGATAACAGGCGTTGCAAGAGCATAATGACCTGGGTACAAATGTATATAAAACACTGAAGGTGGTTCAATAGATTTGTGGAACATGAAATGGAACATTCATTATCCTGGGCTTTAATGATGAAGGCGTAGACTTCAAGTGCAAGGATGTTATCTTAAATCTGTATGGAAAAATTGGTTTAGCCTCAACTGGAGTATTAGATATCTGGACAGAATTAGTGGGGTTGTGATTGATGCACATATCGAATTTGCCGTGAATTTTGGGAAACAGATTTAGGTACATGGAAAACCAAGTATTTGAATCATGAGGAATTTCACGTAGCGAGTTCTCAAGTTTTGGAATGTGCTGCCTCAGAATCTGGTAGAAGCAAATTGAATTAAAGTATTCAAAATGAATTGCATTTGAATGGAAGTACATAAAGGTTTATGAGGAGAAGTGGGGGGATTTTGGAAAAAGTTGAAGTACTCATTCAGAAAGGCAGCACATACTCTGTTATTTAAGAATTATGTGATTCTGTGAACTTCTAGAAATAGTGATTTGGGGAAACATTACTAGTCAGTGGGGAAAATGCTTATTAATTAAATGAATTCAACAGAGAGCTGTCTAAGGTAAATCATTTATAAATAATTCCTGGAGGTTTCAAAAAAGATTGGGCATTTCTTGATTCACTTGTAATGTGGATAAGGAATGTCAGCAGCATTCATAGAAAATCACTGCTGATGCCATCTGTAACATTTTTGTCTACAAATCTACTTGCAGCTTATACAATCAGAGTTGACAATATTACTACCACTGGATATTTTGAAAACTACCAGGTCTTGGTTACTAGACTTCTGAAAATGGGCAGTAAGTCTTGTTTTGAAAAATGTCTTCTTTTAGAACTGAATGCTTCTGTGAAACAGATGTTTAATGAGCATCAGTGATTTAATTACAATCTCAAATCAATATTTTCATCAACCCTAATAATTTTTCAACACCTCGCGTGATAAGAATTTTTCTCCCTTAATATTATTAAAATGTTCATGAACTCTTCTACTATCACCCTTTCACGAAGACCATTCTAAAGTTTCTCAATTCTTTAAAGGTGTGGAAATGGCATTAATTTTTGTAGTAAGTGGAATACTCCTGATTTTAAATAGTTAACCTGAGTTTTATGTTCTCCCATATTGGGAGAGTTCTCGCCAGATCTAGTCTGTTAAGACTCCTTAGGATTTGATAAGTTTCAATCGGGTTGTCCCTTGTTTTTCTGAACTCTAGCAGAATAAACCTCAAACTGCCCGGCTCATAAATGAACATGCCCATTACAAGTCTTAGTCTAGTAAATCTTCTTCATGTGCCTCTGATGTATTTACACACTTTTTAAATAAGGAACCACTACTGTGTACGGAATACCAGAATGGCTTAACCACCACTACCCTGTAGATATAAAGCAGAACTTTTGTATTCATGTCCACTTGCAAAATAAATTAGAATTCTTTTAGCTTTGCTAAATATCTGTTTTACTGCATGCTAACCATTTGCAATACGTGCAGGAGGAAAACTGCATTCCTCAGTATTTAGACCTTTGCAATCACTAAACATACAGATAATACATTTTATTTTTAATTCTTCCTGTCAAAACTGACAAGTTCACATTTTCCACAATCCATATGGTTTTGAAACTTTAAGAATATTATGTCTACCAATTTCCCTTTGTCCACAACATGTGTTTCCTCCTCAACAAAATTCATAAGATTGATCAATCATGGTTGCCCTTTCTGAAATCTGCCTGACTGCCTTCAGCTTATCCAAGCGCCCTGATATCGTTTATTTAATGAAATAGCTTCTTTCATGCTCCCTATGACAGAAACTAAGCTGACCAGCCTAAATGTTTCTGCACCCTTTTCTCCCTGCCTATCACTATAAAGAAGCTACCTCCATTATCTTCCAAACTAATGGAAGAGCCCCTAAATCAGGGAAGTCTTAGAAAATTTAAAACCTTATTAAGTACCTCCACTAAGTACTTCCTTTAAGACCTGAAGATGAAATTCACAGGACCAGGACACTTGGCAGCTCGCAGCTCCCACAAGTTTACTTACTTAGAATCCCTAAAGTGTGGAATTAGGCCCTTCGGCCCAACAAGTCCACACTGACCCTTAGAGCATCCCACCCAGATCCATCCCCCTATAACCCACCTAATCTACACATCCCTGAACACTATGGGCAATTTAGCATAGCTAATCCACCTAGCCTACACATCTTTGGTCTGTGGGAAGAGACCGGAGCACCCGGGGGAAACCCACACAGACAGTGGCCCGAGGGTGGAATTGAACCCAGGCCCCTGGCACTGTGAAGCAGCAGTGCTAACCACTGAGCCACCATGTTGCCCATAATATCAATTACTCAATATCAATTTTCTGCTGATTATGATTTTCTTGAATTATTCCATTTCATTGATTTAATAACGTATTCTTGCATCATGGTTATTATTGTGTATAGTGGAGTCTGTTGTGTGATATTGGTTCAATTCATCCAACATTTCGTATTTTGAACATTAGTTCTCCAATCTGACAAGTAATCTACACTCCATTACAAAACACTGATACAGCTTTAGGCCTCTCTGGGTGTTTTAAAATTAATGGTGGTGATATATATCATACTGGATATTAACACTGCTGTCTTATTCAAGAACGATTCATTCATGGAATTTTATAGTCGTCAGATGCAATTTACAGATATTTAATTACAATATCAATATCCTTTTATTGTCATGCATACTCCATTGTAGGAGTGGAATGAAAAGATTTTACAATGTCTGCCTTGTTATGGCAACATCTTAGGTACAAGTACCTAGGTACAATTCTTGAATACATCAGAGGAATAAAAGTAGGTGCATGACTTAGAGTCTAAAAATAAGTTTAAAAATAGGACATCATTAAGGGGTCAGCATTACACTAAGGTAGGAAATTTCAAATAGACATGACAGTGTAAAGGCTCAGCGCAGGGTCTCTGCACATGGTCTGACCGCCCGTGCCAGACCGAATCCAACAGCCGCCCTGCTCTGCACCAAGCCCCAGATCACTCAGTACTGGCACTCAGCTGCTCCAAGGTAAGTGCCAGGACTGCCTCCCCTGCACTGGTTTCTGCCCGGGACTCGCTGCCTTCATGATGCTCCAGAGCTGCTTCCCCATATGCTACTGTGGGGTTGCTTCCCCACATTGTTCTGGGGTTTGCAGCACACCCTGTTGTACGAGGGCTCGCTGCTGATGGTGTTCTGGGGCTCGCAGCCCACGTGCTGTGCCAGGGCTTAATGTCCCCAAGTAACCCCAAGGCAGGTAACGCAGGATGATGGAATTTGGTGTGGGTACCATTAAGCAGGCACAGTTGTTGTTGTTGTCTGGTCATGTCTTTCTGCAATTCCTAAAGACAATACCGTTCCTTTCCATGGTCTGTGTATCAGATAAGGACGAAGACGTTAAAATCAATGACATCCGACATTTCCTGAAGCGGAGATCCTGTCAGATTCAGCTGAAGAAAGGTGAAGATTATTTTATCATGGGCCAAGATGGGAGAAGCATCGATGAAAGTGGCAAGTAAGTCATGTTTTATGAATTGTCAGCAGACCAAGTCAGATTTTATTGGAGACCAACAGGATATCATAAGAGTTTCATCACTACCATTCTAAAGCTATTAAGAACTGATAAAAGGTGTAGCCACGCTGAAATCATGAGAATCAATTCAATAGAAGTGAAGAGTGAAATAACAAGGTACTTCCTTACTGAGGCAGATACTGAAAGTATTCATAGAAACCATCATAGAACAATACAAAGTGTTGTTGCATTACATGCAGGAAGGTGCTCTAGTTTGAGCTTCTGCACAAAGCAAATATCATGGCCCATTTTCACACAATAGTTATTTGCCAGTAAAATGCTCCAGGAAAGTCCTTCAGTCATGAGGAGGGTTCAACACCTTTCCATTGAGATATTCCTGAACTAAAAGGTCACTAGAATTGCTTCTTCCTCCAAAATGCTATTCTGTTCACTGTGAAGAAGTAGCTAATTCTTGTTTTCATTTGCAGGATTCAGTATTTATTTGATGCTAAATCGTGGATTGAAGAAATTCCATCAGCTGATACCTGTGAGCTTCGGAAATACCGAAGTGCCTGCAAAAGCCTGAATGATTTCATGGACGATCTTGCAAATCGTGGATGCCAGATATAGCCAAACAGAACTTCAAGGCTGACATTTTAAATCCATACTGCTAAATGTAATACAATAATTGTTCTGTATGATAAATTTTAGAAAATTATATCATTTATAAAACTTCAAGTAGTCTTCCTTTCCTAAATTTGTCCTAGTTCATATGCGAGTCAAGATTACAGAAATCTCTTTCGTGGTGCTATCATGAGGCATGTTATAAGAATGTTTTTGTATATCTGTAATCAGCAATATACACTCTCTCTTCTCCAAGGTTCAGCTGGGTTACCTATGATTGAGCCAGTAATATCTGAAACTGTGAGACTGGTACCAGCAAATGGAAGTTGAAAGATATTTAACATGAATACCAAGATTGTAAAACCTGTCTATTAACTCCTTCCTTTCCACAACACAATGCTCCAAATATTCCTTCCAAGTGAAAGCTCCTTTCTCGTTGTATTTCCTTCCATTGCCTGCTCATAACAGAAATTATGACAAGGCGTCTTCCTTGAAGAACTCCGCAGAGCGTCCATTCCTTTTTTTTAAATATAAATGCTTAACTTCTCTTGTACTATTCACCATTACATTGAATGTTCATACAAGCTTGGGGGCAACCAATCTCTGGACTACCCAGGCCAAAAATAACTCCTGACACCCCACAACCTGACAATTCACTTCCCACAAATGCTTTGTTGCTGAACATAGAAGCAACTTCACAGCAACGAGAACAACCAAGGATCCAGCAACTCCCCATTAAACTTAAAATTCCTATTGCCTTGCCCACCTGATATCACACCATCCAAATAAATTCTAATCGGGCTCATGCGAGCAATGCCAGAGTTCCCATGCCCAAGGGTTCAACAGCTTATGTCAAGCCTCATCCATTTACCTGCCACCCAAACACCTCAACCCAACCAGTACCCAAAGCCTCACAAGCTATGAGCAACACAGTGGCTCAGTCGTTAGCACTCCTGTCTCTCAGCAACAGCGACCTGGGTTTGATTCCAGACTTGGTCATACAGTCATAAAGTAATACAACATGGAAACAGGCCCTTGGCCCAAACTGGTCCATGATGACCACGGTGCCCACTCAGCTAGTTTCAGTTGCCAGCATTTGGTTCATATCCCTCTAAACCGTTTCTCATCCATGTACCTGTTTTTAAATGTTGCTATTGTACAACTTTTTCTGGCAGCCCATTCCATATACGCACAACTTTCTGCATGAAGAAGTTGCCCCTCAGGTCCTTCTTAAACCTTTGCCCTCTCACCTTAAACCTATGCCCTCTAGTTTTCAAACCCCCATCCCTGAGGGAAAGACTATATGCATTCATCCTATCCATGCCCCACATCATTTTATACAGCTTGATAAGGTCACCCCTCATTCTCCTACATTCCAAGAGAAAGTCCTAACCTGACCAACCTCTCCCTATAACTCAGGCTTGCCAGCCCTGGCAACGTCCTTATAAATCTGCTTTACACACTTTCCAGTTTAACCATGTTCTTCCTATAACAGGGTGATCAAAACTATACACAATACTCCAAGTGTGGCCTCACCAATGACTTGTACAACAGTAGCATATCATCCCAACTCAAATTCACAAAGCCTCGAACGATGAAGGCCAGCATGCTAAATGCCACTTTCAACAAACTGCGTACTTGTACTGCTAAGTCCCTCTGTTCCACAGCACTCCTCAGGACCTTACCATTTACTATATAAGTGTTACCTTGCTTTGACTTTCCAAAATGCAACACCTCTCACTTATCTGTATTGAATTGTATTTGCCTATTCTCAGCCCACTTCCCCACTTGATCAAGATCCATCTGTAATTTTTGATAAGCTTTCAATGATACCTCATAATTTTGTATCATCCGCAAACGTACTAGTCATGCCTTGCACATTCACATCCAGACTATTTATGTGAAAAAACAAATAACAAAGGTCCCAGCACCGACCCCTGTGGCACACCACGAGTCACAGGCCTCCAGTCCAAGAAACAACCTTCAACTATCACTCTCTGCTTCCTACCATTGAGCCAATTTTGAATCCAATTAGCTAGCTCTCCCTGGATCCCATGCAACCTAACATTCATGACTAGCCTGCCATGTGGGACCTTGTCAAATGTATTACTAAAGTCCATATAGACAACACCCATTGCCCTACCCTTATCCATCATCTTGGTAACCTCTTTAAAAAAGACTCTAAATGGTTTGTCAAACATGACTTGCACGCACAAATCCATGCTGACTGTCCCTCCCCAGACCTTGACTATCCAAGTGTTGGTTGATCCTGTCCCTCAGTATTTTCTTGAACAACTTGCCTCCCACTGATGTCAGGCTCACTGGCCTGTAGTTTCCTGGCTTGTCTTTACTACCTTTCTTAAGCAATGGAACAAAATTAGCCAACTTCCAGTCTTCTGGAACTTCTCTAGTGACTAAAGATGAAGCAAAAACCTTTGCAGGGGCCTCTTTAATTTCTTCTCTAGCCTCCCACAATGTCCAAGGATGGACTTGATCAGGCCCAGGGGACTTATCCATCTTAATGTGCTTTAAGGCTGTAAACACTTCCTCTCTGGTAACGTGTGTGCAGTCCAAAACATTCCCACTTGTTTCCCTTATTTCCTTAGTCTCCATGATTCTCTCCTCAGTGTTTACTGAGGAGAAATATTCATTAAAAATCTCCACCATCTCCTGTGGTTCCACACATAGACAGCCACGCTGATCTTTAAGGGGACCCTATTCTCTCCCTAGCCACCCTCTTGCTCTTAATATAGCCATAGAACCTCTTGGGATTATCTTTAACCTTATCTGCCAGATCCATCTCATACCCTCTTGATCTTCTGATTTCTCTATTGAGTGTGTTACTACACTTTTTAATCATCATCTAAGGATTCACCTGAGCCTGATAGCTTAAACCCAATGGATGCCATTTTTCATTTTCTTAACCACAGCCTCAATATCCCGCATCAGCCAGGGATCCCTAAACCTGCCAGCTTTTCTCTTCACCCTAACAGGGACATACTGTCTCTGGACTCTTGATATCACACTTTAAAAAGCCTCCCATTTTCCAGCTGTTCCTTTTCCTTAAAACAGACTCACCCAATTGATCTCTGCTGGATCCTGCCTAATGGCCCCAAAATTGGCCCTGCTCCAGTTCACCATCTTAACCTGTTCTATCTTATTTCCATAACTGTGTTAAAACTCAGAGTTATGGTCACTGGACCCAAAGTGCTCTCTGACTGACACTTCAGTCACTTGCCTGACCTTGTTTCCTAAGAGGAGGTCCAGTGTTGCACCCTCCTGAATACAGCCCTCTACATATTGATTTAGGAAACTTTCTTGAACACATTTGACAAATTCCACCCTGTCTGGGCCTTTTACACTTTGGGTGGCTCAGTCAATACAAGGGAAATTAAAATGTCCAATCAATATTATTCTATTATTCCTACAGGTATCTGCAATCGGTCTACGCATCTGCTCTGCTAGTACCTGCTGGCTATTTGGGAGTCTGTAATATAGTCCCAACAGTGACCATCTCCTTCTTGTTCCTAAGTTCGAAGCATATGGCCTCATTTGATCACTCCTTAAGAATATCTTCTCTAAGCACACTCCCTTGTCAAAAGTGAGTGTCTGCATGGAGTTTTTATGTTCTTCCCATGCCCATGAGGATTTCCATCAGGTGCTCTGGTTTTTTCCCCTCACAGTCCAAAGATGTGTAGTTTAGGTGAATTGGCCAATTGGCCATGCTAAATTGTCCATAGTGCAGGCTAGGTGGGTATATATGGTTAATGCGGGTCTACAGGGATAGGATAGAGGCCTAGGTCTAGGTTGGATGTTATTTGGAGGGGTGGTTCAGACCCTTGGGCCAAATGGCTTCTTTCCACACTGTAGGGATTCTATGATTCTAGTGATCTCCTGCTTGAGTACACATTACCTTAACTACTCACTCACCTAACAAATAACCACAACCACTTGCTAATCCAGCACTTCCAATCAAAATTACCATAGCCGCTCACCCACCATTCCTCTTGTCCATGACTCTACTTGTCACCTCTTCACTTATCCACATGCTGCCATTATCAGCACGCTGTCCTGGCAAATGTTTGCCAGAGAAGAGTCTTATCAAAAGCTAAATAGGCATGTATCTGGGACTAATCTGGGTCAGTTTTACTACTTTAGTTTGTAAGGAACGACCATTTGGTTCTGTCTTAAAAATTCTGTAAATTAGAAAAGTGTATTAATTAGGGAATAACTGAAACCACCAGGTATAAATCAAAGTCAGTGCCTTTGTAATAGAGTAGATATGCAATAACAATAGGAAATAATAGGATAGGTGACACAAAATAGAATATGAGGAGTGAAATGTTAATGCAAATTAGTAAATAAACAAGTATATAAGACTAAGTCTCAGACATGGTGGTTTAGATTGGCCAACTGGAATGAGTGGCCTGTCATATGTAAGAGTTCATGGAACCTATCAGTGTCCATGATAACCAGGTAGTTCTTTTGCAGGTAGACAGGATGGTGAAGAAGGCGTTTGGCAAACTTGCTTTTGTTGATCAGAGCATTGAGTATGGGAGTTAGGTCTTGATGTTGAGGCTATACAAGACATTGGTGAGACCATTTTTAGAATACCGTGTACAATTCTGGTTGCTCTTCTATAGGAACTACGTTGTTAAATGTGAGAGGGTGCAGAAAAGATTTACAAGGATGTTGCTGAGACTGAAGAGTTTGAGTTACCGGGAGAGGCTGAATAGGTCATGGGTTTTTTCCCTGGAGCATTGGCGGCTGAGGGGTGACCTTATAAAGATTCATAAAATCATGAGAGGCATGGATAAGGTGAATAGCCAAGGTCTTTTTCCTAGGATGGTGGAGTCCAAAACTGGAAGGCATAGGTTCAAGGTGAGAGGGGAACGATTGAAAAAGGACCTGAGAGGCACCTTTCTCATGCAGAGGGTGATGTATGTATGGAATGAGCTGCTAGAAGATGTGGTGTTGTAATTACAACATTGAAGAGGCGTCTTGATAGGTATATGAATAGGAAGGGCCAAATGCTGGCAAATGGGATTAAGTCAGATTTGGGATGTCTGGTTGCACAGATAAATTGTTCTGAACGGATTGTTTCTGTGCTGTAT